TTTTAATGTTTTTTTTTTTTTTACCCCTCCAATGTATCTATGGGGGAATAGCTGTCAGTGCATTGATGCTACTCCTTTGTGGGGATATTTTAATGTTTTGTTTTACCCTCCAATGTATCTATGGGGGAATAGCTGTCACAGTGCATTGATGCTACTCCTTCGTGGGGTTATTTTTTGTTTTCACCTAATGCAGCCACCACATCTAAGGACTAGTAGACTACAGTACAGTACATTTTTATTTTTGGGTTTAGTTAGACTTTAATTAGCACCCGACCTGATGTTGTGTTTAATGTGTATACTTGTATGAATGCCAGAAGCACAGATTGTAACTGCTTTAGGCCAAAGATTGTTTTGGTTCCATTCTAATATTCTCGTGTTCTGTAAACAACATTCTTGTGGAATTGATGTCAGGGCAGTTTATCCTCTTATCTCCTCCCCTATGTGCTTTTGTTGTTGACATCAGACAGACCCCTATCAGTATGAATCATGACCTGCATGCATATGATCATGTTTATCATTCAATCTGCGTCCTTAAAATTCAGCTTTCTTTTGATATTCAATTCACAAAAAGAACATTGGGGAACTGGAGAAAGTGCAGAGAAGGGGCAACCAAACTGATACGAGGCATGGAGGAGATCAGCTATGAGGAAAGATTAGAGGAACTGAATGTATTCTCTACTGAGAAGAGGAGATTAAGGGGGGATATGATCTCCATGTATAATACATAAGGGGGGGATATGATCTCCATGTATAATACATAAGGGGATATGATCTCCATGTATAATATACATAAGGGGGGGATATGATCACCATGTATAATACATAAGGGGGGGATATGATCTCCATGTATAATACATAAGGGGGGATATGATCTCCATGTATATAATACATAAGGGGGGATATGATCTCCATGTATAATACATAAGGGGGGATATATGATCTCCATGTATAATACATAAGGGGGGATATGATCTCCATGTATAATACATAAGGGGGGGATATGATCTCCATGTATAATACATAAGGGGGGATATGATCTCCATGTATAATACATAAGGGGAGATATGATCTCCATGTATAATACATAAGGGGGGATATGATCTCCATGTATAATACATAAGGGGGGATATGATCTCCATGTATAATACATAAGGGGGGGATATGATCTCCATGTATAATACATAAGGGGGGATATGATCTCCATGTATAATACATAAGGGGGGATATGATCTCCATGTATATAATACATAAGGGGGGATATGATCTCCATGTATAATACATAAGGGGGATATGATCTCCATGTATAATACATAAGGGGGGATATGATCACCATGTATAATACATAAGGGGGGATATGATCTCCATGTACAATACATCAGTGGTTCATATAGTGAACTCGGTGTAGAGATATTCCCCCTGAGGTCATCACAGAGGACAAGGGGGCGCTCTTTAAGTCTGGAGGAAAAGAAATATCTCCAAACACGGAAAGGTTTCTTCACAGTAAGAGCTGTGAGAATGTGGAATAGACTCCCTCCAGAGTTGCTTGTGGCCAGCTCAGTGGATTGCTGTAGGAAAGTCCTGGATCCTTTCTTGGATACGCAGAATATAACTGGATATAAAATTTATAGGGAAAGTTGATCCAGGGAATATCCGATTGCCTCTTGGGGAATCGGAAAGGGATTTTTTCCCCTGCAGGAGCAAATTGCATCATACTTTGCTGGATTTTTTAAACCTGCCTCTGAATCCACTGTGGGTGTAGGATTATGACTTTTTTTTTTTATTGGTTGAACTGGATGGACTTGAGTGTTTTTTCAGCCAGAGAAACTATGTAACTATGATAGCTAAACAATGTTAAATTATAAATAATGGAACAGTGTGGGGTTTTTTTTTCTTCCCATTTGTTGAGTAAAGTGGGGAAAGATTAAACCCCCTGCTAGGTTAGTTTGCTGTCTGTCTGTGTACCATTGGGGAAATGTTTCTTCGCTTGCTGTCTGTGTGCCATTGGGGAAATGTTTCTTCGCTTGCTGTCTGTGTACCATTGGGGAAATGTTTCTTCGCTTGCTGTCTGTGTACCATTGGGGAAATGTTTCTTCGCTTGCTGTCTGTGTACCATTGGGGAAATGTTTCTTCGCTTGCTGTCTGTGTACCATTGGGGAAATGTTTCTTCGCTTTGCTGTCTGTGTACCATTGGGGAAATGTTTCTTCGCTTGCTGTCTGTGTGCCATTGGGGAAATGTTTCTTCGCTTGCTGTCTGTGTACCATTGGGGAAATGTTTCTTCGCTTGCTGTCTGTGTGCCATTGGGGAAATGTTTCTTCGCTTGCTGTCTGTGTACCATTGGGGAAATGTTTCTTCGCTTGCTGTCTGTGTACCATTGGGGAAATGTTTCTTCGCTTGTTGTCTGTGTACCATTGGGGAAATGTTTTTCTTCGCTTGCTGTCTGTGTACCATTGGGGAAATGTTTCTTCGCTTGCTTTCTGTGTGCCATTGGGGAAATGTTTCTTCGCTTGCTGTCTGTGTACCATTGGGGAAATGTTTCTTCGCTTGCTGTCTGTGTACCATTGGGGAAATGTTTCTTCGCTTGCTGTCTGTGTACCATTGGGGAAATGTTTCTTCGCTTGCTGTCTGTGTACCATTGGGGAAATGTTTCTTCGCTTGCTTTCTGTGTACCATTGGGGAAATGTTTCTTCGCTTGCTGTCTGTCTGTGTACCATTGGGGAAATGTTTCTTCGCTTGCTTTCTGTGTGCCATTGGGGAAATGTTTCTTCGCTTGCTGTGCAAAAGATGCTAAAGGGAGTTAGAGGAAGTCCACACATTATGGGAAATTCCCTTCTTAGACAGGTGCCCCCATTTGACAATTTCCCCTTGCCTCCTGTTCTAGGTACAACTGTAAATGATTTCCCCTCTTTTTCTTTTTCGATGACATTGGTCACCGAACACTTGAACGGATAAAGGACCAGATAAAGGTGGTGTTGTCTTTGCAGAGTACAGATGGGCCTTCACCACTTTCTCCAAAACACGTTTACTTTTCTAGCGTTGCCCACAGATGTGTTAGAAGCATGGAGTGACCTAACCGTGTCGATTGTCTGGCAGTGTCACAATAGTAGTGATGACTTAAAACGTTTTGCCTGTAAAAATTGTCTGACTTTTCTTCCATCTCTCTGCTTACAGAAAGTGCACATTATATTTTTCATGAACCCGTGTATATTGGGGTACCACCATCATTTCAGTGGGCTGCCCCACGCACGGCAAACGCAACAAAGTATTTAATGCACCTTTTTACGCTTGCGCGTTGCACATTTTTAAACCACATTTTGCTACAATTAAAATCCCATTGACAATGGACTGCACCGCATGCACGATGTTTGCTCATTTTTGTAAACATTTATTATTTTCTGCACCATGAATGAATCTACACTTCAGTGTTTACATCAAATGTAATTATAGCAAAGCAGTCAGGTGTTCAGGAGGTGATCCTACGTCCCCCTGAAAGTCGTGTGTTTTCCCTCCTCCAGGTAGACCGTTTAGACTGTTACATCTGTATACCAAGTTCTTGGCTCATGGTTGCTGTGCTGCCTTCTTGATTTGAATGGGTTTGATAGGTGGTGTCATCTGTCATCTTGACACGCTACATTATTTTGCAGTGACAAAGCATTGAGGTCACAGCATATGAACAGCCTCCTCTGGCTGCTGTTTAACCTTTAGGTTGGCTCAGCCACTTGTTTTTTACCACACGCCCAGATGCTGCTGTAGGGCCAGGGTGGGGCCAGGGTGAACTCACCAGTGCCTTAAAGAAAACTAAAAGTGGAAACATGTAACTAAATAGAAGCAAACATGTTTGTTTAATGAATGTAAGATCATTTTTTTATTGGCATGCAGTTGTATGTTTCTGTGATTTTTAGTAAGGTGAGGGGGGGGGAGGGGTTCACACATTTTATGACAAATTAAATATCTGTCTGATTACCTGTCCGCTCACTACAAGCTGCAGCATTGCCAGGAAGCCTATCTGTGTCCGCTGATTGTGTTCATCCTCTCACGGCCATAACATGACTGCAGTGCCGTCAGTAAAAGGATTGATTCGGTTACCATGCATATCTTGCAGCCGCATCCTGGAGATCTGATCTGTAAAGGGCGCTACAACTACACGCTTTGCACATACATGAACAGACTTCCAGCTTCCCAGGGGGATGTTTTTGCACAGATTGTGGCCATGAGGGAGTTGGAAGTTCTGTAACACACAATTTCCGTTTTTACATGCTTGCCTTTGCACAGAAAAGAATTGAGGATTAACAGTTGACCTGGCAAATTCCTGTAACCTGATTTTAAGCTCTTTAGCCTGTGAGAATCACATCTAAAAAGTACAAATGGCGCTGCAAAATCACACTGCGCTGGCACTCCAATTTCATGTAAAATCGCACCCTAGTGCACCGCATCAGTGAACCCCCACTACTCCAGTACATGTTTGGAGCTCTCCAATGATGGTCACGGTATGGGTGTTTATCCCTGCCTGGACCACACTCAACGGTCACATTTGATTGACAACTTGGATTGCCCAATATGTTCCAGATGTCTGAGGTGGTCCAATCTGCATGTGTACTGGCAGCTGTATTTGTGAACAGTGATGACTGTCTAGTTGCTGAATGAAAAGTCACCTCTAATGTGGATGCAGACAAGTCTGAATTGTTCAGAACACAATGTCTGCATTCTTCGTATTCCTCCATCTCTGGTGGTGCAAGGCTGGTTGTGGATCCAAATGATGGCCGTCTTTTCTGATCTAGAGGGAGCATTGTGTCAATATGCAAACAAACACGCACACATAATGGTTTCTTTTTCTGCGTTTGGCATGTGGGGGGGAGGGGCAGGGTTTTTGTAAAATGTTTTTATTTTAAGATAAATAAGTGTTTTTATTATCAGTGCTTGTAATGTGACCAGAAGTGTGTATACAAATGACACGTATTCTGTAGCGGATTATTTTTGTTTACAATTCTGTTTCTCTCAACAGTTGAAAACAGTGAACACTGCGACTTCACTATTCTGCGGAACATGTTGATAAGGTAAACGCATCTCTGAGAAATACAAGTTTTCCTGCCTCATGAAGCATCTATAATGGTGGCATACATGACGGCACCGTACTAACGCAGTCCTCTACATATAATACAAGGCATTTGTTGTCTTCTAAGAACGCATAATATCTCTATATAACAAATTGTGCCTAAAGAAGGCAAAATACACTGAAAAAACATAATGCACTTCACCTATATGTGTGCGTTGTGTTGGTGGATCATGTTACCTGTTACATTTTGGGTTCCTTTCTTCACTGTAATGTCTCTGATAGAACGGTTATAACTGGTGGCAATGACTGGGAGAAATTCTTGGCAGTTTTTCATGTTGCAGTTTCTAGCTGGACATTTTACTGGCACATGTAAAATAATTGTTTAGTAAGGTTGGTACAATTTGATTCCTAATTTTGGCCTGTGCTAATTTTGAAAATCTATCGGCACTGACAATGTACTCATATTATCCCCTATTCCTTTATTAACCACTTGCCTACCGGGCAATTATACCCCCTTCCTGCCCAGGCCAATTTTCAGCTTTCAGCACTCTCACACTTTGAATGACAATTACTCAGTCATGCAACACTGTACCCATATAAAATTTTCATCCTTTTTTTCACACAAATAGAGCATTATTTTGGTGGTATTTACTCACCACTGGGTTTTTTATTTTTTGCACTATAAATGAAAAAAGACTGACAATTTGAAAAAAAAAATGCGTTTTTCTTAGTTTTTGTTATAAAATTTTTCAAATAAGTAATTTTTCTTCATATATATTCACCAAAATTTATACTACTACATTTGTTTGGTAAAAATAACACAAATTAGTGCATATTATTTGGCACTGTAGATCAGACAGGGCACTGTAGATGTCAGATAGAGCAGTGTAGATCACACTCACAGTTGTAAAGAACCGATTCTCTCTCCTTTCCTCGCACTCGGTATTGGTGTGAGGAAAGGAGAGAGAAAACCCAGCCATGACCCTGCTGTGTTTACATTTGTGATCGCTCTGTCCAATGAAGAGCGACCACAAATGTAATCAGCAGCTGTAAGTGGCTGTTCACCCCCCTCTTCCTAATGTCCTGTGTCCGAGGGACACAGCCGTCACGGACAGTACCCGATGCGCGCCGCCTGGGGCGCGCGCGCGAGAAGCGCGATCACGGGAGGACGTCATATGATGCCCTCCCAGAACTGGCCGGCCGCGGTGAAGCCGTCATTCGGCTATGCACGGTCAGCAAGAGGTTAAAAAGTGGTTGTAAACATCTGACATGAATAATGAACAAAGCATATCCCCTCTATAGTGTGTACTTGTGAGCACTAAGTGTCATTTCTGTCTGCGATCTGCATGAGTCAATTCTGGCAAGTTTTCCTGACACCAAGAGAAAAAAAAGGTGAGGGGGAAGGAGCTCCAGCATGTAGCCTTTGATTGACAGCCTCAGCTGTGTTCCTGTTTAAAGGGGGTTTGTCTCTTCCCTTCAATTATCTCACTGAGCTCTGCATTTGGCTCCCCTCCGCTTGTGTGCTCAGACAAGCTGCATACATTTCTGACTTTGGATGTTGAGAAGAGGAGACTGCAGATAAACAAGTACAACTTATTTAGGAAGATTTGTTTTATCTCTGTGCATCACCTGAGGGCAGTCATTTCACTGGGTATATGTAAGGGTTTACAACCACTTTAACAGAAAAAATAAATGTGTAATGATAGATGCCGTTTGTGACATTGGTTGGAGTTGTATCTTTATTAGAATAACTGCTGTTGTACCAAATGTTTTTATCCCTTTCTTGATGTCTACATTTCAAATGGAAATCTTTTCTCTGTTTAAACCAAAATGGATCATTGATGGCCTGTTTTCACTTACATGCACAAGTGTTCTGAATTTGCAAAATCCTTTGTAAATTCAAATTGCTGAGATAACTTTGTCCTACTTTGGCTTTTAGCGATTCCATTCTGTATACTTGCAGCTAGGAGCAGATACATCGTCACATAATCTCATACGCTTTGCCAGTTCTCTTAGAGCGGAGCTCCATCCAAAAGGTTACGTTCCGATTTAAGCCTTTGTCCCCCGCGCTCCCCATTAAGGATTGGCACCATTGGGGATCGGGTACCCGAATTTGACATTTGACAGGTTCTGCTCCCACTTCCACTGTGATCTCCCTCCCCATAGTCTTCTGGAACACATGACCGGTCCTAGAAGACCACAGGGCCATTCACAAAGTGCAGCGCTTCTCGCGAATGCGCAGTGGGCACCTGGCTGTGAAGCCGCACACTGTTACAGCCGGGTGCCCACACTGTAGATGTCGGCACCGGGGAGAGAAGACGGACGGTGTAACCAGCCGTGGTGAGGACACCGCTGGGACCGAGGGACAGGTAAGTGACTGGATTTAAAAGTCAGCAGCTACAGTTTTTGTAGCATAAGAGGACATTAGTAGTTTCTGCACCAGTATAGCAATGATGATTTTTTTTTTTTCTTTTTAACCACTTGCCCTTCAGAGGATTTACCCCCCTTCCTGACCTGGCCATTTTTTGCGATATGGCGCTGCGTTACTTTAACTGACAATTGCGCCGTCATGCAATGCTATACATAAATGAAATTTATCTAATTTTTTTCCCCACAAACAGACCTTTTCTTTTGGTGGAATTTGATCACCTTTACGTTTATTTTTTGCACTATAAACAAAAAATAGACCGACAATTTTGGAAAAAATAAAAAATGATATTTTTTACTTTTTGCAATAAATTAAAACATATCCAGTAAAAAAATGTTAAAAAAATTTCTTCATAAGTGTAGGCCAAAATATATTCTGCTACATGTCTTTGGTAAAAACATAAATGCCAAAACGTGTAAATTAATTGGTTTACGTGAAAGTTCTAGTTATTACATATGGCAGTATAGCTAATGGATTTTTTTTTTTTACTAGTAATGGTGGCAATCAGCGACTTATTGCGGGACTGCAGCGGGCATTCTCACACGGGGGGGGGGGGGGGGAACTAACTGCCACTGACATCCCCAGTGACACCAATACAGTTATCAGTGCTAATATAAAGCACTGACACTGTACTAATGACACTGGGCAGGAGGGGGATTAACATCTGGGGCGATCAAAGGGTTAACTGTGTGTTGTGTTTTACATAGTGTGCTGTGTGTGTTTTACTGTGTAAACATTCTGCTTTGTATTGCTCTACAAAGCAGCATGTTCGTGCTGACAGGGGAGAGGTCTGTGTTGTTTACACACAGACCTCTCCCCTGTCAGCTCCACCGACGATCACCAAGTCCCGCTGGTGAGAATCGGTGGCCGGGACCCGGTGCTTGACATGCCGGGGAGCCAATAGCGGCGCAGGTAGTAAGTGCACGCACCTCCTACCTGGAAATGCTAATCACGTATATATATGTGATTTTTTGGGCATCCCTGCCACCCTGTAGCAGTACTTCTGCTATTGGGCGGTCGGGAAGCGATAAATGACAGTCATTTACATTACTTTTCCTGAAAGTCAGTTATTTCCAGGTCATTGGAGTCACCAGTGAAAACCATTAAATAATTTGTAATCAGATATTGTCAATCCTAATAAATTCCTGCACATGTGTTTTTGGTGTGAATGGTTGTTTGGTTCTTGTGTTTTCTTCCAGGACACATATGCAAGATCTGAAGGATGTCACCAACAATGTACATTATGAAAACTACAGGAGCAGAAAGTTAGCAGCTGTGACTTACAATGGTGTGGACAACAACAAAAACAAAGGGCAGCTTACAAAGTATGTACATTTCCATCCGTGACCTGTTCCTGTTCTGTCACCATCTTTCCCTTCCATGTTCTCCTCCACCTTCATGACATGTTTCAGGCATTTCACACCATTCTCTTCTCTCCATTTCACAGTCATGTACCATTCTTTCTCCCATTGTTGCATGTGTGACATCACTATCCTAAGAGGCATTCATGTACTACCGGTCGGTATAGCCAAGCAGGGTTGTGAACAGGTTACTTGAAGGTTTACTTGTTCGGTGTATTTGATTTATAGCAAAATCTAGAAGGATCGGAAAGCTTCATAGCAGATAGTGTCATTACATTTAAAGAATTCAAGGCAGGTCCTGGAGTGCTTTGGATGCATCGCTCTATATGAACGCTCTGCGATGATCGGCGTGACAAGGAATGTGGTGGATATCTTTATGGTTGGCTGTCTGCTTTTCATTTTCTTCACGGCCAGTTACAGTTCAGGATGTTGTAAAAGTGGGCGTGGTGCTGGAGGAGGATTTTGTAGAAATGGCGACATCTTTTGACTTCTGAAAGAGACTTCAGTGTAGAGAGCTGATTGCATTCAAACAGGACGAACATTTTGGGCTTCTGCTTTAATACAGGAAATATGTTTGTATTGTGTGACGGAGTACTGTGATGAAGCAGCGGCAGCTCCGGGGTTGTTAGAAAACGAGGTACATTTGTACCTCAATATAAATGAAAGTTCAGATAATTAACATTTTCATCATGTGTGTGAGATCATTGCTGCACTCCTTCCTGACTAAGAAATGAAGAGACAGAGCCCAATCCCACCCTTTATTCAGCAGCAAGATGTGACCCTGGGGCCAAGGATCCGTCTACTTTGGGCGACCCTACAGAACAATAACAAGTGCTTTTGGTGTGAAACACTATAACACACATTTTTCATCTCACTGACCAGAGGAAAGAAGTTCTGCACCATGTGGGCTCCAAAAGCCAAAATAACTACTAGAAGTGTCAATGTGACCAACAAGAGGAGGATTTCTCCTTTGCCGGTCATAGACTATGAAACACCGCTGTCTGCGTTCACATCTCTCCATTTCCCATTGGTACTCCTCCTCCTTTTGGAGCATGCATAATAAAAAGAATCAATAGATTTTGGAATACTACTTAAATTTGTATTTTTTTTTTTTTTTTTTTACATATCAATCCATGTGTAGCCTACAGAATACAGTTCCA